TGGGCTGGAGGAACCCAGCCAGCTTCTTTTTTGTTTTACCTTTACGGTAATGGTAACCTTGGACCTCCATGGGCTTCCCCTGTGCTCTTACCCCAGGACCAGTCACAGAGTGCATCCTTTGCCTAGGGAAAAAAAGTGATTCTGTAGTACCAGTTCCTGGGTTTGCAAATAATGTGCTCTGCAGCTTGACACCAAGGGCAGAGGGAGATGAGCTCTGGGAGGTTACTAGGTAGCTAGGATCTGTGGCTGTTTCCCTATCTTGTATTTGGACTGTGTGACAACTGTGGCCACAAGGACTGACTGCCAGGTCTCTGGGCTCAGCCACAGCTCATACTGCCTATTCCTGCAGAATGCCTACCAAGTCTCTCAGCTCTTGCTGGCTGAAGGGAGTTACAGCCACAGTTTGATTCCTCCCATCTCTAGGCTGAGCCCCACCATGAGTTCCCATGTTTAAAGCTGCATTCCTGGCTCATCTCAGATTTTTCTCCCTTCTTGCCTCCCCAGTTTGCCCTTACTTGCCCCTACTTGCCCACCTTTAGATGTTTTAAGGCATGAATTTCTCAGGTGTGTTTGTGTGTTGAGCAGGGAATCCTTTGTTGAGGTATAGCTATTCAAATTGTTGAAACTTCAAGGGGAGAGACCAAAAGTATCTCTCCTGTCACCATTTCTCTCAATTTCATCTTATAAATATTTCTGTTTAGACTAGACATCTTTCAGTTGCTCAGTAGCCCATGCAGCTATTAGCTAATGCAGCAATTTTCAACATTTTTCATTTCATGGCACACAGAAACTAATTACTAAAATTCTGCATCACACCAAAAAATATATTTTTTGCTGATCTTACAAAAAAATAGATATAATTTTGATTAATTCTCAATGGACTGCTATGTTGTGTTGGCTGTTGTCTTTTTTTAAATTTGACAATGTAAGGGAAAAGAGATCAGTACCTTTGACTAAATAGGTATTGCATGTTTTAAAAATTCCTGTGGCATACTGGTTGAAAATCGCTGATCTAGGCAGTCAGAAAACTACAGGTGGAATCAGAATAACTTTGCCATAGTTTTGTTCTGACTTTCGCCTTGAGGTACTGAATGGAGACTACTAGACTCTCATCTATCTTTTGAGCATTACTCAAATAGACTACTCTCATCTATTTGAGCACTACTTTTTAGCAGTGCTCAAAAACCATGATTTTTACTTCATTGAAATGAAATGTAAATGTTAATAATTATACTACTCACATAATAAGGTCTGAGAGAGATTAAGAGATATACCTCTCTTGACAGAGACAAGTTATTCATCAGAGGACTATGATTATCCAGTAGTATGTTTAAGTAACAGAGATGCCAAGAATAGACAAGTAGTTAATTTACTTTGATTGACTCAGCCATCTGGGCATATATATGCCCCAGGAAGCATATGTTAGAATATTCATAGCAGCATTGTTTGAAATAGTCAAAAAGTGTCCATGAACAGAAAAATGGATGAGTTGTGGAAATATGCATCAGAATATTTGATAACAGTAACAAAAGAACTTTGGACACACACACAGGCAAGACACACATAGACAAAAACATATATATATATATATATATATATATATATATATATACTAGACTTCATTAAAAGAGGTCTTATTTTTTATTCTCCAAATCAAAGTAGGCACAGGGATGGGAATATAAGAGTATCTTAGTCTAGGCGAGCAAAAGGGAAAAAAGAAAAAAGATTATCATAGCTGGAAAACTTCCTTCATTATATCTGAAGTTGTGAGAACTCTTTGTATTGTGTCTCCAGACAGAATCAGATAAATGATCAGTTAAGCAGTAAATTCACATTTTTAAATTTCCAAAGTAAATTTGGCCTTTTGTCCAGCAACCTAGCTAGCTAGCTAGTTTCATCTATCTCAATGGGATATCATTTTGTTCATTTCTCATCCTGCTGTGTTTAAGTGTGTATATTGTAATGTTTGAGAATCTCCCCCTACTTAAATTTGATTTATATGAGCTTAATAGAGTACTAGCAGTGCTTGAATAAAGAAATTTTTAAGTTGACTTAATACTAAATTTAATCATTTTAGAAAAGACCTGAATGCTAATTTTTTATACCTCTGTTCTTGATTTTATTTATTTATTTATTTATTTATAATATTAAATTTTATTTAGTTACTTTTCAAGTACATTTTTTTTATTTTTTTAATCTATTTCTCCCTATTTATTTTTTATTTAATTGTTATTCAAGTACAGTTTTCTGTCTTTTACTCCCATCCCATCCCACCCCTTTCCCCACCTCCCTCCCATTTCCACCCCCCTTAGTTGTTGTCCATGTGTCCTTTATACTATTTCCTGTAAATCCTTCCCCTTTTCCCCTGAAATTCCCTCCCCTCTCCTCTCTGGTCACTGTCCGCCTGTTCTCTGTTTTAGTGTCTTTGGTTATATTTTGCTTACTTGTTTGTTTTGTTGTTTAGCTTCCTGTTAAAGGTGAGATCATATGGTGTTTGTCTTTCAACACCTGGCTTATTTCACTCAGCATAATACTTTCCAGTTCCATCCATGCTGTTGTAAAGGGTAGGAGCTCCTTCTTTCTTTCTGCTGCATAGAATTCCATTGTGTATATGTACCATAGGTTTTTGATCCATTCATTTACTGATGGGCACCTAGATTGCTTCCATCTCTTGGATATTGTAAATTGTACTGCTATGAACATTGGGGTGCATAGGTTCTTTTGGATTGGTATTTTAGGGTTCTTAGGATATAATCCTAGCAGTGGAATTGCTGGGTCAAAAAGCAGATTCATTTTTAGTTTTCTTAAAAAATTCCATACTGTTTTCCATAGTGGTTGTACCAGTCTGTAGTCCCACCATGAATTAGGGTCCTTATTTCTCCACAACCTCTCCAGCACTTGTTGTTTGTTGCTTTATTTATCATGGCTATTCTGACTGGTGTAAAATGGTATCTTATTGTGGTTTTAATTTGCATCTCTCTGATAGTTAGCGATATTGAGCATCTTTTCATGTGTCTCTGGATCTTCTGTATTTCCTCCTCAGAGAAATGTCTGTTCAAGTCCTTTGCCCACTTTTTAATTGGGTTTCTTGTCTTCTTAGAGTGGAGTCATGTAAGTTCTTTGTATATTTTGGAGATTAAACCTTTGTCTGAGGTATCATTGGCAAATATGTTTTGCCATATAGTTGGTTCTCTTTTTATTTTAATACTGTTTTCTTTAGCTGTGAAAAAGCTTTTTATTTTGATGAGATCCCATTTGTTTATTCTCTCCTTTATGTCCCTTGCTCTAGGGGACATACCAGTAAATATGTTGCTGTGTGAAATATCTGAGATTTTCCTGCCAGTGTTCTCCTCTAGGACTTTAATAGTGGCATGGCTTCTATTTAAGTCTTTTATCCACCTTGAATTTATTTTGGTGTATGGTGTAAGTTGGTGCTCAAGTTTCATTTTTTTTTGCACGTAGCTGTCCAGTTCTCCCAACACCATTTGTTGAAGAAGCTGTTTTTACTCCATTTTATGTTACTGCCCCCTTTGTCAAATATTAATTGTCCGTAGAGACTTGGGTTGATTTCTGGGCTCTCTGTTCTGTTCCATTGGTCTATGTGCCTGTTTTTATGCCAGTACCAGGCTGTTTTGATTACAGTGGCCTTGTAATACAGTTTGATATCAGGTATTGTGATCCTTCCTACTTTGTTCTTCTTTCTCAAAATTGCAGCTACTATTCGGGGTCACTTATGACTCCATATAAATTTTTGTTTACTTATTTATCTTTAGAGGGGAAGGGAAGGAGAGAGGGAGAAAAACATCAATGTATGGTTGCCTTTCATGCGTCCCCTTCTGGGAACTGGCCTGCAGGGAACCAGCCTGCAACCCAGGCATGTCCCTGACTGGGAATTGAACTGCTATTGTCTGGTTCGCAGGCCTGCTCTCAATCCACTGAGCTACACCAGCCATGATGGTTCCATATGAATGTTTGAAGTGTTTGTTTTATGTCTGTGAAATATGCCATTGGTACTTTAATAGGTATTGCATTGATCTGTAAATTGCTTTGTGTAGTATGGATATTTTGATGATGTTAATTCCTCCAATCCATGAACACGGTATATGTTTCCATTTGTTTGTATCTTCCTTGATTTCTTTCTTCAGTGTTGTGTAATTTTCTGCATACAGGTCTTTTACCTCCTTGGTTAGGTTTATTCCTGGGTATTTTATTTTTCTTTTTGTTGTACCAAATGGGATTTTTTTCTTGATTTCAGCTTCTGCTGTTTCTTCTGAATATTGGCTTTGTAACCCACTGTTTTGCCAAATTCATGTATTAGATCAAGCAGTTTTTGGGTAGAGTTTATAGGATTTTCTATGTACACTATCATGTCATCTGCAAACAGTGACAGTTTTGTTTCCTCCTTTCCGATTTGGATGCCTTTTATTTTTTTTCTTGACTGATTCCTGTGGCTAAAATTTCCAATACTATATTAAATAGAAGTGGTGAAAGTGGACATCCTTGTCTTGTTCCTGATTTTAGTGGAAAAGCTTGTAGTTCTCTCAGATATGGCCTTTATTATGTTGCGGAATTCTACCTCTATTCCCATTTTGCTGAGTGTTTTATCATAAATGGGTGTTGTACCTTATCAAGAGCTTTTTCTGTATCTATTGATATGATCATGTGATTTTTGTCTTTGCTTTTATTTATGTGATGTATTACATTTACTGATTTGCGAATATTGAACCATCCTTTCATCCCTGGGATGAATCCCACTTGGTCATGGTGTATGATCTTTTTAATTTTTAACCAACTATTGTTACTTTTTTATGGGAAAAGATCTCAAGTCTGATTATAAATGTTTGTCTTTGGGGGGCTTGTGATTTTTCAATACAGAGCAGATTTTAATACCTCTTATGATAACAGTGGTTAGGGGGAGGGAAAAAAGGCAGACTATAAATTGTAATGGCAAATATAAGCACGCCATTTATTACGTTTCACTATGTTTTCTGTTTCTTTAGTGGTTTTTGGCAAATTTGTCATATCAAGAAGCACTTTCAGACACACAAGTTGCTATCGTTAATATTCTGTCTTCAACTTCTGGTAAGGAATGTATCTTCAAAATCTTCATTATGAATTGAGATCTATTCTAGTGTGTGTGTTTGTGTGTGTGCATGTGCATATACATACATTTTTATCTTGTTATAAATTATTTCATTTGTTTCCATTAGATTAGTGTATTTTAACCACTTCTTAATCTTTATAGTTTTATGCCATAGCCTTGTGCTATTTTTATTCCTTTTTTAAAAAATATTTTATTTATTTATTTTTAGAGAGAAGGGAAGGGAAGGAGAAAGAGTAGAAGAGAAACATCAGTGTTTGGTTGCCTTTCATGTGCCCCAACTGGGGACCTGGCCTGCAACCCAGGCATGTGCCCTGACTGGGAACCAAACCGGTGACCCATTGGGCACTGTAGCTCAGTGCCCAATCCACTGAGCTACACCAGCCAGGGCTATATTTCTAATATATACTTTGTAATATATTTTATACCAATATGCTGGTGCTTTGTATTATAATTATCCTTTCTTTCCCATATTCTTTCCAAAGATCTTTTTCTACACCCTTTGCCTAAATGTAATTGTTTATCTCAGAACTATAATTTGTCCTATGAAAGGTATTTTTATTTTTAAATTTGATCACTTCCAATTCTGGAAGATAAAAAAAGTGCTTTGAAGCTCTAAAAATAACTTTAGCATACAAGCTTGATCATGAAAAGGTCAGAATGTTACTCTGAATGCTCAGTTTAACTCTCTTAATTTAAACAAACAGGACTATACTTGATCTGTACTGTTGAAATAAACATGGTTTAGTTTAGACCAAGGCTGTTTTTATGTATGGTGTTTGAACATCTCAGCCTAGGTGCCTAGGTGACTGCAGTCTTATTCTCAGTTATTTAAAAATGAGAAAATCAGTTTAAAATTAGGTGTATGATTTATTTAAATAATCAAATTGGCAGTGAATAGTTTTGACAGTGTTTAAGCTAATGTATTCTTTTTTGTCTTTTTCTCTCCATAGGACTTTTTACCTTAATACTTGCTGCAGTGTTTCCAAGCAACAGTGGAGATAGATTTACTCTTTCTAAACTATTGGCTGTAATTTTAAGGTAAAAATATAGTGTAATATCTGGTTTACTCTGTTAAAAATACGATATTTAAACATTTTCTGATAGTGATAGAAGTAAGTTGTGGTACACTGTATAGGTGAAGAAAGTTTTAAACAGACATGTACTCAACCCTGTGTCACATCCTTGGCCAGTTTCCCAAACCCTCCTGGGGAGGGTGACCTGAGGGAAGGACCCCAAGGCAGCTTTGGTTCCCATGCATGTGACTGCAGACTTACTAAGTATTGTAGGGACATTCACATTTAAGTTAATGTGGCAACTTAATGCTCATGACCTCCCAAGTTTCCATTTCCTTTTCTTAAAACAAGTTCCCTTTTTTGTTTTGGGTTCTGGTTTTTACTCCTCCCACTTCTAGAAATCTTAACATGCAGTCTTCTCTGATTGTATCACCCTCAATCTTTCATTTGGTATTACTATATAGCATCAATATTATCAATAACTATTTTTGACCTTTTATTTTTATTTAACTTTGTGTATGTTTGTTTTGTCTTCCCTATGAGATTGTAATCCTTTAAAGGCCAAAAGCTTTGTGTCATCCTAGGTCTAGCACAGTACTTTGCTGCCAATAGCTCAAGAAAGCTGTGTTGGTTTGGTAAAGCTATGGCTTTTGTGAGAGGAAATTAAATCAGAGGAGGTAGCAAAATGATTTAAATGGAGAGATTAGTACCAACTATTTGAGTTAGGTGTGAATCACAGGTCTGCTCTGTGTCCATGGACACTTCCCTTAAATCTTCTTGAGAGGATTTCTTTCATCTCAGCTGTGTGATTTCAGTCAAGTACTTCTCTTTGTGCTTAATTTTCTCACATGTAAAATTAGAATGGCACTAACAATAATAGCTTTCATTAAGGTAATATTGTGCATTTTGTGTGGATTAAATGGGTTAATATTATAGCACTTACACTATACTGACACTGTTGTTAGAGGTTAATTAAATCATGAATTCTTTGACAGTTTTACCTGAAAATTCATCTTGATCATTTTTAAATAATCTTTATAATTAGTCCTTTTATGGCAGGGGTGCAAACTCATTTTCCCCAGGGGCCACACCAGCCTTGTGGTTGCCTTCAAAGGGCTGAATGTAGAGCTCTTTTCCCCTAGTTAAGGAGTAGTTACATTTATGCAGTCCTAAAATTACATTCAGTCCTTTTAAAGCAACTGCGAGGCTGATGTGGCTCCTGGAGAAAATGAATTTGACACCCCTGTTTTAAGGAATTTATTATCTTGTTCATCAGTAATGACTGTTATTCTCATAGCATTGGAGGTGTCGTGCTGGTAAACCTGTCAGGATCTGAAAAATCTGCTGAAAGAAATACAATAGGTAAGTATCTGATGCTGCATTCTTTCTGTTAGATTATACAAGAAAGTTTTGCAACCCCGAATAGCAGCTGCAATTTTGAGAAAGAAGAACAAAGTAGGAGGAATCACAATACCTGATATCAAACTGTATTACAAGGCCACTGTAATCAAAACAGCCTGGTACTGGCATAAAAACAGGCACATAGACCAATGGAACAGAACAGAGAGCCCAGAAATCAACCCAACTCTCTACAGTCAATTAATATTCAACAAAGGGGGCAGTAACATAAAATGGAGTAAAGATAGACTCTTCAACAAATGGTGTTGGGAGAACTGGACAGCTACATGCAAAAAAATGAAACTTGAGCACCAACTTACACCATACACCAAAATAAATTCAAGGTGGATGAAAGACTTAAATAGAAGCCTTGAAACCATTAAAGTCCTAGAGGAGAACACTGGCAGGAAAATCTCAGATATTTCACACAGCAACATATTTACTGGTATGTCCCCTGGAGCAAGGGACATAAAGGAGAGAATAAACAAATGGGATCTCATCAAAATAAAAAAGCTTTTTCACAGCTAAAGAAAACAGTATTAAAATAAAAAGAGAACCAACTATATGGCAAAACATATTTGTCAACGATACCTCAGACAAAGGTTTAATCTCCAAAATATACAAAGAACTTACATGACTCCACTCTAAGAAGACAACTAACCCAATTAAAAAATGGGCAAAGGGCTTGAACAAAACACTTCTCCAAGGAGGAAATACAGAAGATCCAGAGACACGTGAAGAGATGCTCAATATCGCTAGCCATCAGAGAGATGCAAATTAAAACCACAATGAAATACCACTTTACACCGGTCAGGATGACTATCATAAACAAAGCAACAAACAACAAATGTTGGAGAGGTTGTGGGGAAAACGGGACCCTAGTTTACTGATGGTGGGATTGCAGACTGGTACAACCATTATGGAAAACAGTATGGAATTTTCTAATAAAACTAAAAATGGACCTGCCTTTTGACCCAGCAATTCCACTGCTAGGATTATATCCTAAGAACCCTAAAACACCAATCTAAAAGAACCTATGCTTCTCAATGTTCATAGCAGCACAATTTACAATATCCAAGAGTTGGAAGTAACCTAGGTGCCCCTCAGTAAATTAATGGATCAAAAATTATGGTATATATACACAATGGAATTCTATGCAGCAGAGACAAAGGAGCTACTACCTTTTGCAACAGCATGAATGGAACTGGAAAGCATTATGCTGAGTGAAATAAGCCAGGTGTTGAAAGACAAATACCATATGATGTCACCTTTAACAGGAAGCTAAACAACAAAACAAACAAGCAAAATAAAAACAAAGACACTGAAATAGAAAATGGGAACAGCAACCAGAAGGGAGGGAATTTAAGGGGAGAAAGGGGAGGGATTTAGAGGAACAGATATAAAGGACACATGGACAATAACTAAGGGGGTTGGAAATGGGAGGGAGTTGGGGAGCATGGGGCAGGGTAGGCTGGGTTGGGAGAAATAGAAAACTGTACTTGAAAAATAATTAAAATTAAAAAATGAAATTAAAAATTAAAAAAAAAAGTTTTGTGCATATCATCATCACACACCCACACAGAGATTGGGCACTAACAGACCTTTAAAAATTTACTTTCTGCCTTGGCTATTGTAGCTCAGTGGATCAAGCACTGGACTGTGAACCAAAAGGTCACTGATTTGATTCCAGGTCAGGGTATATGCCTGGGTTGCATGCATGGCACCCAGTTGGTGGTGTGGGAGGGGCAATTGACTACTGCATCTTTCACAGATCAATGGTTCTCTCCCTCTTTTCCCCTCCCTCCCCATCTCTCTAAAAATAAATAAATAACTTTCATTTGAGAATAATGTTAAAAAATTCAAAAATAGTTTATAGAATTCTCATATAGCTTTATCCAGATTCTCTGTTAACTATGTACATAACTACATTACAATTATAAAAATGAGTAGTTAACATTGGCTAGAATTTTATTATGTAGTCTGTAGTCCCTTTCAAGCTTCACTACTTTTCCACTAATGTTCTTTTTCTGATACAGGATCACTTATTGCATTAACTTGTTTGTGCCTGCTAAGTTTCCTTTAATGTGGGATTATCCCTCAATCTTTTTCTGTCTGTCATAACTTAACACTTTTAAAGGATATTGTCCAGTTGCTTTGTAGAATGTCCCACAATTTGGTTTTGTCTGATATTTCCTTATGGTTAAATTTATGTTGTGCATTATTTATAAAAATACCATGGTAGTGATATTGTGTTCTGATCAGCACATTTTATCAGAAGATACATGATATTGATGTTATTAGTGACATTAATAATGATGTTAGTTTTAAGGTGGTATCTGCCAGGTCATTTAGTGTTTTTGATTCATTGTTAGATTTAACAAAAACAAAGTTAATGTTTTTCCTCTGGGTACTTTAGATATTTTGGGTACTTTAGATATTTGAAGTTTATTGAATAGAATAATACTTCTTAACTATTCCTGGTTACTGTCCAGTAGGCTGTATCTTGAATTGCCTCAACTATTTTCACCTAGAGCAGCTTTGTATGTGTAAAACAATATGCATATTTGTTGCATATGTGAGATTGCGCTGACATGCTTTCCTGTTGCTATTTTTTAAAAGTTTGATGATAAACATATTTAATGAAACATTGGACTTTTAGATAATTGATTAAAGTATTGTTATGGTCATTTGGCAGACAGCACATTATTTAGTTCTTTTTAAAGGTTTGCTGCAATGTTTCTGAGAATGAGTTAACATATTAAAGAGAGCTGGTATTCATTATGCATGTACTGTGAGCCGTGTGTTATTTCAGATATTTGGGAACATTAAAAATCATAATTTATGTGTTTGCAGTTTTCAAGAAATTCTTGATTGTAATGAGTATATGAGATTTATAAAATGAAGCCACTAGAGAATAAAATAATACCACATTTATCTATAGTAAGTATTAAATTGTCTAAAATAGAGGACAGGTAGGATAGAAATTCAGCAGAGTAGAAAAAGGATACTTTATGGCAGAGAAAGGACTTTTACAGGGCCTTGAAGATAGTAGTAGAATGTATATTAAAAATGATACATGCAGGGGGAGAACAATCTAAGCAACAGCTTAGGGAGAGAAAGAAGCAGTGTTCAAGTTGGACTGTGTCAAGTGACAAAATTGTTTATGTAGGAGCAATAGGAGGTGTGCATTTCAAAATTAAGAAACAAAGTGCTATGTACATGAATTTTAGCATTATGACATGTATAAATGATTAGATCATTGAGGTGAATGTTTTTGCACTCATTTGTTTATTACTCTTTAAAGTCTTTCCTGCACTCCTGGGGGACAAGGATGGGTGGGCTATACATATCTTTTCATGTACACTCATTTCTTGAAATAGCCTCTGACACATTGTTAGATTTTAAATAAGTGTGTTTTAAATGAGTTAATGAACAAATGCTTTAAATCATTATGTTGACCTTTACAGGTTCCATTTGGTCCCTTGTTGGAGCCATGCTCTATGCTGTCTATATTGTCATGATTAAGAGAAGAGTAGACAGAGAAGATAAGTTGGATATTCCGATGTTCTTTGGTAAGAATGTTCAATTTGCGAGGCTGTTTACTCTGAATGATTGACTTAAGGTTATGGTTTTGGTTTTTGGAGGGAATAGGGAAGGCTTCCGTGTCTCCTCCCAATATGATTCTTTAAAACCTTTAGCTTTTAAAGATCATGAAGTCCAATCTCAATGTTTTTCTCTTACCTTGACCTTCATAGTTGTGCACCTCTGAGGACTGCCCATTTCCTCAATGGGAGATAAAGAAATTCCTTCTAATTCCTTTTGCATTAATGTCTTCAGCCTGTGAATCAGATATTTTCCCCAGTGATATGACAGAATCATGGTATTATAAGCAGTGAGAGTATACCTGTTGTGTTATACATTTTGCCCTTTTGAGTTGCTGGAAATATAGGATTGGGGAAACTGCCCCCAAATGATATATGAATAATACTGTTCCAGTCCATGTACTTATTTTCATTAAAAATTGTGGGCCATTTCAGGTTTTGTCATTTGTACTTTATCTTTGACACTTGGATTCTTTTATGACATAGATTTTTCAAATTACCCAACTATAGTTTTTGGAATAAGTTATTTATTTTGGCAAATAAAATACCTGATGTGATTTATAAAATTCTCTTTTGCCAAAAATCAGCTCAGTAAAAAATCTGTGTTATCTGTAGGATATCTGAAGATATCTTTCAAAAGATAATGGAGTACCAATAGATAAAGAAGCCTAGTGATGAGGGTTCAAAGTACAGCTTACAGGGAATCAGGAGATCTGCAATATAGCTGTTATAACTTCATTTATCTCATACTCATCTGAAAAATGATGAGATTAAGTTAGATAAGTAACTTTCAAATTACTGATTTACAAAGGATCCTGGGAATGTTGGGAGGATGTGGAGTTGTATGTGTGAGTCTAGTTCTTGGACTCCTTTGCTTCTTCAACTGGAATAGCTGTACTTTGTAGGTCTTTTTGCATTATTGTTTAATTTGTAGAAAAGATTTTTGTGCTAAAAACAGTTTGAATATCTTTATGTAAAGACTAACAAAAATACAATGTTTGAAAAACCACCAAGCTGAGTAGTCACTCGAGTTCCTTTTAAGTATAAAATTCAATAAATACACCTGAAAGATGAAGATCATTTTAAAAATATCTTATTGTAGAGTCATAGAAAATTCCATCTGTGATGGAATAAAATGCTAACATTATTTGGTTTTGTTTTTAAGAATGGGTAACTTTTAACAAAAATTGCTTAATTTAATAGAATGTCTGTAGATATGTAACTTGGTCTTCATATATGATGTGACCTGGAAAGGAATGTGAATCTGATTTGAGCTTTATAATAGACAGGATTAGGGAAAAAAGAAGTTATGATTGGAATGTGGGGGGTTCTTAGATGTGGGGAAGTGAGAACATAGCAGGCCACAGGTCAACGTGTTTGTGCTAGAGCATTCACTTTAGGGAAGAAGAGGAAGATGTGCAGGCCAGATTCTGAAGGGTCTGGAGAGTAGAAGAAATGATTTGTAGGTCCAAACATTGTTAATTTATGTAGGATTGCACAGACTTGATAGTTCAAGCACCAGAAAATAGTTTTGGTTCTTGTTAATGCCAAATTTTGGCATTTTAATTATAATTTTTAATATTATACAAGCCTTTTAGATTATGAGTCTCTTCTGTATGTGTGTGTCATTTTGTTTTATTTGTATCACTAGATATCTTAAACTGGGTTTCCTAGATTAGGGGTATGGGGCAGGGATTTAGTGTAGATGGTTTATTGAGGGGTCGCTTTGAAGGAAAAATTGGCAGGGGAGTGAGAGAGTAGGTGGGAGGTAGAGCCTAATGTCTAGGCAGTCCTCTGTGATGTCCTGGTCTTGAATCATTGAGGTTTCTGCCACAGGCCTGGCCCTGTGAGTGCAGTCATTGGCTGCAGAGGGTGCGGGGTATGCAGGGGAGGGAACTTCCTGGGGAAGACAGATTTGTTTACTGTCCAAGGACAGCTCTTTAGAGAAGGCAGGTGAAAGTGGATACTCCAGTCTTGTTTAGATTTAACTAGGTATCCTAAATACTAGTTTACTATTTAGCAACCAATATAAAATAATTTACCTTTCTTTTAAAAAAGCTTTACAGTTACTTCATGCATCTCACAGTGGACCTGCAATAATGTTTAACTGTATAGAAAGTGCAGTAAAATTACTACAAAATTATTATAATTTTTCTTTATAGTCTTTATAGTCTTTACATGTATATAGTCATATATAAACTTACATTGTTATAATAATAGCTATCCTTTATTACTGTTTACTCTTTGCCAGGTACTGTGCTATATTTTGTTTTATGTACTTTCCAATAGCCTAATTAAATGTTGTTTTACACTTATAGACTGGAAAACTGGGGCTTAAAAGAGGTTCGGCTCTTGCCTAAGGTTTACACCACTAGTGGATGGTAGAGCTTGGGATCAGAACCCAGGGCAGTCAGACTGCAGAGCACACACTTCTAACCACTAAACAGTACAGCCTTCCTTATAAGTAGTCTGGGCTTGGTTCACACATTGAAGAGGTATTTATATTATATATGTGTTATCTTACCAGTTAATTAATGAGCTCTGGGAAGGCAGGAACCAAGAATTTTGCCCTTTTTTGGACCCTTCCTCCATTATTCCTAATATAGCGCAGGTGCTTTAAACACAACTATGAGTTAAATCAGAACAAACAGTAAATTCCTTATAATTAATTCGGGTTAAATATACAGACACTAGTTATTTTTTTCTAGGACACTACAGGGTTGGGCAAAAGTAGCTTTATAGTTGTTCATATGGAAAATAATGCATTGATTAATAAATAAAAATACAAGAATAAACTCTGTGTTGCATACTCAACAACCATAAACCTACTTTTGCCCCACCTTGTATATTATTACTAGGTAAAGTTAACAACCTTTCTTTTTGAATTGATGCATTGTGGACATTTGAACCTTGAAGACTCAGTGATCACCAGTTGCCTAGTGCAGTTTTCTCTGGTGATGAGTTGTCTTTCCAAGGACTGTCTTAAAAACAAAGAAACAGAAGTTTGTTTCTTTTGTTTCCAGTTAAGGAAACCTACTGGAGTTCTTTGTACAAAACCTGTTTCCTAAGTATAGAGTTATAAGTTTGGAAAATTTAAATAAATCACAGAAACTAACTTTTATCTCTTTTATATACATTCAGGTTTTGTAGGTTTGTTTAATCTGCTGCTCTTATGGCCAGGTTTCTTTTTACTTCACTATACTGGATTTGAGGACTTTGAATTTCCCAATAAAGTAGTATTAATGTGCATTATCATTAATGGCCTTATTGGAACAGTTCTCTCAGAGTTCCTGTGGTTGTGGTATGTACTACTTATTACCCTCTGATTTATTAGTTACGAGTTTATGAACTTTTGGGTAGTTTAAGCATTTATGTTTCTTTTGTCTGATGGCCCTTCCTGTGCACCTTCTCACCCCACACACTTCACAGTTTAATACAGTAACGCCATTAAAGCTGGAACTTTGTTTTTTACTTTTAACTTCTAATTGTCCATTGTGTAGGGTAGTGTTGTGCACATAAAAGGAGCTTAATAAATAATGAAGGAACATGAATGATCTAAAGTAAAGTTTTAAAGTGGTTTTGGAATTAGTGTTATGCAAATGAAGGTGTCATCTAATGGACATCCAAACTTACTACATGTGTATCCTAAGTATTAATGAGTTTTGAGTGAGAATCTGAGGGGATTTTGTTTAAGAGCGTTTGCTTATTTTAGAGACTATTCGGCCGTTCATAGACTTTTTTCTTTTGTTTATTCTTGGGACTTTTAATGTGGGTAAGCAACATATGCAAACCTTAAAGTCTGATTAGACATGTTGTAATATCAAATATGTTGATATGTGATAATATTCTTAAAATAGAAGACAATATCATGTATTGAGCTTAAGAAACCTTTCAAATATAGAGCTTGATACTTAGTCCTGCTTCCACTTAACAGAAACTTAAAAAGAAGCACAAATTTTACTTAAACTCTTAAATGAATTTTATTATATGACAGTTAAGACTACTGACTAGTTTTTTCTTGCAAAAGACTGCAACAAAGATAGGCTTTGAAGTCTTTTCTTTTATGCTTTGCCTACACTTCTTTCTCCTCCCCAGGTAAGGAAATATCTCTATTTCCCTCTCAGGACTGCCTTTGCTATATTCTAATCTATTATGTTACTAATGGATAGAACATAATGTTTTACCAGTGTATTATTGAGAGACATTTTAGGTTTTTAGTCTTTTGCTTTGTGAATAATTCAATATTGAATATCCTTATATATGTTAGTGTTCTGTAGGATTAGTGCCTGTAACTGGAAAAGACTGAGTCAAACAAGTAGACTTTAGATTTGATAGAGAATTGCAAAATCATTCTCCACAGAGAACTGTTCATAGTCCCTATTGTGTATTATGAGTGTTTATTATTGATTAGTTGAATTGGACCCTGAAAGCTATGTATTATGATCCGAGCTATGTTTTTCCTTATCTGGGATAGATTTTTCAGGACCTCAAGATTTATTTTTCAGATACACTTCTATGCTCAAGCATTTAAGAGTGTTTATAGTAGTAACTCAGTAGCAGTAAAATTAATAAGTAATGAAAAAACATAAACTCCCAGCTCGGGTGACTGGGGAGGCTGTGTCACTGGGTCCTACAGGTCACCAACTATACAGGGCCTCTCTACCATGTCTGGAAGACATGGCAGCTCTACCTAATACATAGAAGTAAACTTACAGAAGCATATAAAATGCAGAGATAAAGAAATAGGTCCCAAATGAAAGAACAGTAGAAATCTCCAGAAAAAGAACCAAGTGAAATGGAGCCAAGCAAACTACCAGATATAAAGTTTGAAATAATGGTTATAAGGATGCTCAAGGAACTTTGTGAGAACTTCAAGAGCATGAAAAATACATAGAAACCATAAAAAGAACAAGTTAGAAATGAAGGATATACTAACTGAAATGAAGAATATTTTATAGGGAATCAATAGTAAGGTGGATGAAGTTGAGACACAAATCAATGATTTGAAATGTAAGGAGGCAAAAAACACCCAATCAGAATAGCAAAAAGAAAAAAGAACCCCCCCCTGCAAAAAATGAAGATAGTGTATGGAGCCTCTGGGATAACTTCAAGCAAACCAACATTCACGTCATGAGGGTGCCTAAAGGAGGAGAGAGAGCAAGAAATTGAAAACCTATACAAAAAAAGGATGATAGAAAACTTCCCTAACCTGGTGAAAGAAATAAACATACAAATTCAGGAAGCACATAGAGTTCTAAACAAGATGAATCCAAATAGGCCCTTACCCAGATACATCAGAATTAAAATGTAAACGTTGTTAAAGACAAAGAGAATATTAAAAGCAGCAAGAGAAAAGCAGTTACTTTCCCACAAAGGAGCTCCCATAAGATGGTCAGCTGATCGATCAACAGGAACTTCGTAGGCTAGAAGGGAGTGGCAAGAAATAAAGTGATGAAAAGCACGGAGCTACAACATGATTACTCTATCCAGCAAAGCTATCATTTAGAGTCGAAGGACAGGTAAAGAGCTTCCCAGACAAGAAAAAAACTAAGGGAGCAGTATTAAATGAAATATTAAAGGTTCTCCTTTAGGAAGAAGAAGGAAAAAAAGATAAAAAATATGAACAATAAAATGGCAATAGATACATATCTATTTACAGTTGAATCTAAGAAACAAAATAAAGGAACAAAGAATAGAAACAGACTCATAGATACAGAAAACATTTTGAAGTTGCCAGCTGGGAGGGTGATTTGTGGGAATGGTGAAAAAGGGGAAGGGATTAAGAAGTACAAATTGGTTATTACAAAATAGTCATGGGGATATAACATACAGAATAGGGAATATAGTCAATAATATTTTTTTAAGTATTTTTTATTGATTATGCTATTACAGTTTTTCCCTTTATTCCCCCTCCACACTGTTCCCTCCAATGCTCCAGCATCTTCCTCCCTTAGTTCATGTCCATGGGTTGTACATATAAGTTCCTTGAGTCCTGTTTCCTATACCATTTTTTATCCCTCCGCATGCATTTTATGCCTACTATATGCTTCTTCTTCCCTGTACCTTTCCTCTCTATTTCTCCCTTCCCCCTCCCCACTGAAATCCTTCCATGCGATGTCCATTTCTCTGATTCTTTTCCTGGTCTGCTTTGCTTAGTTTTTATTTTTGTTATTTTTCTTTTAGGTTCATTTGTTGATAGTTGTGAGTGTGTTGTTATTTTACTGTTCATATTTTTTATCTTTTTCTTAGATAAGTCCCTTTAATATTTCATATAATAATGGCTTGGTGATGATGAACTCCTTTAACTTGACCTTATCTGGGAAGTACTTTATCTGCCCTCCCATTCTAAGTGATAGCTTTGCTGGATAGAGTAATCTTGGATATAGGTCCTTTCCTTTCATGACTTGGAATATTTCTTTCCAGCCTCTTCTTGCCTGCAAAGTTTCTTTTGAGAAATCAGCTGATAGTCTAATGGGCACTCCTTTGTAGGTAACTGTCTCCTTTTCTCTGGCTTCCTTTAGGGTTCTCTCCTTATCTTTAATCTTGGGTAATGTAATTATGATGTACCCTGGTGTGTACTTCCTTGGGTCTACCTTCTTTGGGACTCTGTGGGCTTCCCAGACTTCCTGGAGGTCTTATTTTCTTTGCCGGATTAGGGAATTTTTCCTTTATTATTTGTTAAAATAAGTTTTTAATTTCTTGCTGTTGTTCTTCTTCTGGCACCCTAATAATTCGGATATTGAAACATTTCAAGTTGTCCCAGAGGTTCTTAAGCCTCTCTTCATTTTTTTTTGACTTCTTGTTTCTTTTCATCTGAATGAATATTTATTTATTTATTTATTTATTTATTTATTTATTTTTCAAGTAGTTGCTTGAAGTTCTGGTTTCCTTCCTGTCACTATTGGTTTCCTGAATATTTTGCTTATTTTACTTTCGGTATCCTTCATTTGTTTTTTCATTTTTCAACCAAGCTCAATCAGATCTGTGAGCATTTTAACTACCAGGGCTTTCAGTTCTCTATCAGATAGGTTGGTGATCTCTTCCTTGCTTAGTTCTCTTTCTGAAGCTTTGCTCTGTTCTTTAATTTGGGCCGTATTTCTTAGTCTGGGCGAAGCCAATAGGTTGTAAGGGGGCGGGGCCTTAGGTATTCATCGGTCGGGGCAACCCTCTTTGCTGCCTGTGCCGGAGGGGCCGGAGAGAGAACTGTGCAGCTCATCTACTCCTCTCTGCAGCAGTTTTCAACAAATTCTCCTGTGAGACTGGGAGTGTCTCTCACTGCAGCAACCCCAGCCTTAGACCACAGTCAGCTGTGAGTCTCAGTTTTCCTTTTCAGTCAGTCCCGCCCCTAAGGCTGCCAAGTCTCAGAGGTTTTTCCTAGTCTGAATTGGTGGTCCCCTACCTTACCAGTCTGGTTGTTCTGGTTGATTTTTTTTTAATTCCTTGGTTGTCAGAGTTTCATGCAGTTTGATTTTCTGGTGCTTTTGGTTGTTTGTTGATTTTAGATTTGGCTGTTTGTTGATCCTTTTGGTTTTGTGAGAAAGTAAAGGGTCTCTACCTACACCTTCATCTTGGCTGGAACTCTGGGAATATAGTCAATAATATTCTAATAACTATGCATGGTGTCAGATGGGCGTGATATTTATTGGGATGATCACTTAGTGCACTTGAAACTAATATAATATTGCATGTCAACTGTAATTGAAAAATAAAAAATGATTTAAGAAAGAACTAATTGTTCAGCCTCTGTTGAATGCAAATACTTCAAGTGACATTTTTAAGAGATAGTCTCTTTTATTGTAGGAGAGTATTATTAACTTTAACATATCCAAGGCTAGAATTTGCTTACCTATAATTTCCATGGGTCTATAGTCTTAATTAGATATATTATGTTTTACCTTGGCCTATAATTCATTTTCTTATTCACCTAAATTATTAGTCTTTATAAATGGCTCATGTATTTGATATAATGCTTTCCTTCATTTTTTCAGCTAAACAAATTTATATGCAGATTGATATCTTAAAATTTGATACAATATTGATAGTTTATGGTAAAAATAAAATAGGTTTTGGTTAGGAAAATTGCTAGAAAAATGGAAAATAAGGAAATATCCTTTAAAAACAATCACTTTTTTTCTTTTCAATACTAAGCGAAACAAAAAGAGAAACACACGTATAAAGGCTTTTAGTTTTTATGAGATATTTTTGGTTTGATGACCGACTAATATGTTGGCTTATCACTTTCTTGAAGTCTGTGTTGTGAGGTATTGTCCTACAGTTTTAATAAAGCTCCCTCCTTTGTTAGGTAAGTATCATTTTCACAACTCTTGACACTTTTATAAACAATGTTAAGGAAAAGTAGGTTATACATTCAAAGTTGAAAGTATCTGTAAACAGATTTTGAAAATAGCATAAATACCTCAAAATTTTATACTTATATTTGGATTTTTAATATTTGAAGATAAACTTTAAGAATTATCTTAGTAACTTTATTATTTATTATGTCTTAGTCCATCCTAAGCTTTTAGTTTTCCTTTTGATTTCACATCTATATTTTAGGATAGGTAGTCTTTGATTATTGTTTTTCTTTGGTTCTTTTACTTTCGTAATATGGAAATGTGTGTTTTCTTTTTTGTATTTAGGGGCTGCTTTCTTACCTCATCATTGATAGGCACCCTTGCACTAAGCCTTACAATACCTCTGTCCATAATAGCTGACATGTGTATGCAAAAGGTAAGGCAAACTATTTATTAGATATTTTAGGTATATTATTAAAAAAAGATAATGAAAGTTAAGGGATATGACTAAATTATAAGGGATACAACCATGAATAATACTTGATGCCTTCTCTCCCAAGGTACTTTACTACATAGAGATATAAAAAGTAGCAAAGTAAATGGGTAATATCTTGCATTTTTAGCTTTTGCATTTTTTTATCTTAAGAGCAGTATCTTCATATGTAGTTGTTCAGTTTGGCAGCTGATTGCATTCCATAGATTCTTGGTAAGTCAGTGGTTTGGAGTAGGAGGTATATTTTGTCATATAAGTATTAGTGTTTTGGTTTGTAAGATAAACTCCTTCACACTATGCTTATACTATTGTAGACATGAGAGGCATGTTAGCTGTGTCATTTCTCAGCAAATGCTCATTTCTACCTGTACTCAGCAGGGCAGGGGCATCTTCCCTCTTCTATGAAGTCCTGGCCTGGATACCGGGATTCTATGATAAGTATTGGCACCATTGGGTACATCTCAGAAAAGAGGACCTTCGTCCTTCCCAACAGCCTGAAGGGAGGAGATTCTTTAGTCTTCCTAGGGGTTAGCAGGGAGAAAGGAGATGTGCCATTTGTAAATGCTAAAAGGTGTAGTGTAGCCATGTATCACCCAGTTCAATATCCGTAAGCTTTTAAGTAACAAAGTGGTGTGTGTGGGCTGGGGGAGAGGTTGGTTCAATATAATTAGAAAAGGAAATACTTCAAAGCCCAAAGGCTTATAATGGTTAGAAGTTATAATCAGATTTTGAAAGCTGTTTTTCTTTAGGTATTTTTGTACTTGATAGGATAAAAGCAAAATACTGTCAATGGTATCTATCTTCTTTATTTAACTTATTTTGTGGTTCAGTAAATTCTTATTTGTCATGGTTAAAAATGGATATCTCCTTAATTAAGAATTAAATATCTTATATACCATACATTTTCAGAGAATGTGAATATTATAAAGTATATATAACATTAAAGTTATATACATTAAATTTTTTTATAGATTTAAGTAATATCCAAGTCCTTCTACATCTCAGGGTCATAATCTTGAATAGCAACCAGAATCGTTCTAGTGAAACTGGGGAAGTGCTGCCTCTTAGAGGGTTTGGGTAGACCAGTGCAGAAATGAACTTTTCTGGTATTTTGAAAACATCAGCTTTTATAGATTTGAAAAATGAAGATTGGTGGTTAATTTTAAGGAGTTTTTAACAAAGAATTGTCATAGGGGACTTAATTTTATTAAATAATTTTAGAATCTGTTTAATCAAATATTTTAAGATGAAGGCAAAACACAAGAAAAGGGAAAATATATACATATGTTTCATTAATTAGAAAAACATAACCAAATAGTCTTTTCTTGATTGTCTTCACACATATATTATTAGGCATCCACTTAAATGAATAGGCAGAGTCTCCGCTGGGATTTGAGAGGAGGAAAATGCCTTATGGAAAGAGTAGCAGGGTACATGCCAGAGCGGTGCTAGATGCAGGACAGGGGAAATCTGCTTTCATGGGGCTTTTTATTCTTGTAGCCAGCCATGTTTATACATAGTTTCTGAAGTTTTAGTTAGCACTTATTAATAATACTTACTGTGCTTCAAGCAAACTGATTGTTTTAACCTATTTGGATATTTTGTATATTAGGAAGCATCCCTGATTGTATTCAGATTTATTTTTAAATATATTTTATCGATTATGCTATTACAGTTGCCCTATTTCCCCCCTTCATTCCCCTCCACCTTGCACCCCACTCCCACCTGAATTCCCTCCCTTAGTTCATGTCCATGGCTCATATATTCAGATTTATATTCAGATATATTTGGGAATTAGACATTTTTTGTTTATGTAGGCAATTTTCGTTGTTAATAAATGTCTTCATTTTAAAAAGGTATCTTCCTAACTTCTTGAAAGTCAAATTAGAAGTTTTTTTTCTTATTTGGTAACATCTGCCTGTATTGTTAAATGTGAAGTTTGCCTTTAAAAGTCATCTAAGGTTTTAACTACCTTTATAAAGTTTGCTTTAATTCAGTTATAAAATGGGGTTTTTAGTTGAATATTCATGAAGTCATTCTGTCAACTAGATCTCCAGTTTTAACTCTTATTAGTCTTAGTTTCCTCATACTTTTCTGGTCATGGGTTATTTAAGTGCATCATGGTTTTTCTAGATTATTAAGTAGGCTGACAAATGTTCCAAGAATTTGTTATACCAATAGTTTGATAACAACATGAAGGCTTTTTATTTTCTCATACTGAGTGAGCTTTCCTGGGTGTTCTTAGGCTGGCTCAACTCACGTTTGTATACAGTACAAGCAGGTTGTACATGTTAAACGTTGTCAGTGATTATTCACGTGTTATGTGTTGTGAGTCCCTTGTAGAAACATTATTCTCACAAAACCCCTTTGCTCTAGTGGTGCTATGAAATGAAATAGTGTGTTTCCCACCGGAAGGAGTCTTGTTTATGATTCTAAACCTTTTTTTTTAACCCTTAAAGAACATAAGCAGTTTTTCCTCCTTATTTTAAAGGCTGGAGTTACTGTTTTTGTCATTATTTTGAAAGCAAACCACCATCGTGTTGTAGTCAAGTACCAGTAGTAGTTCATCAGTGCAGACTTCTTTGACACAGGTTTTTGTTTTGTTTTGTTTTATTTTAGGTGAATGTGGTAAAAACTGAACTACTGATTGGGGGGGCAGTTGACTTTATGTATTTCTTATTTTAATTTTCTTGACAACTCTGATAAAGTGATGGATTGGCAGGTCAGACTTAGTGATGTCTTAGGGCCCTGTACCACTGAGGCTTGGCTTGCTGTTTCTCTTCTGTGGCTCACATTTCTTAGTAAAAGTATTTCTATTTATAGTTTTTACTTTACTTAGTCATAATTTCTTTATGAGTTTTTTCATTTGTTACTAGTTAATCAAGCTTGTTTTAAGTGTGAGGATTAGAGTTTGTTACAAATTGTTAATAAAAGGTTAGAAAAAATTCAGTTGAATTTCATCTGTTTTTAATACTGTTATATGAAAAGAACTGTAACAACCCAACATACCACAACTAGAGCATAACATTTTTTTAATGTGAGTTTTTGACGATGACTTCAAAAACTGAAGAGAGGGATCAACTTGAGAATAAGCAGTAGTCAGTAAAGAAGAAATGGGCAACATGATGTGTAAGATAAAAGCTTAAAGCTTTGTAATTCTGTTCCCAGTACACTATGACTAATAAATGCAAAGCAGGCCTTCCTGGCTTTCTTTTAGGCTGTTTTCTAAGTGAGAAATATTTTTGTTGGTAATTTATGCAAGTGGTTAGTATGTTAAAGTCCTGAATCCTTATATTTAATACAAATTTACTTAGTAATGTGTTGTCAGTGCTTAGTATTATTTTCTTGGTGTTTTATTTTATTCCTGCAACTTTTCATGAATGCAAAATATATTGAAGGATAAAATTGTCTTCATGATAACTGTGTTTTTTTTCCCTATCTCTTATTTTTAGGTGCAGTTTTCCTGGTTATTTTTTGCAGGTGCTGTCCCTGTATTTTTTTCATTTTTTATTGTAACTCTCCTATGCCATTATAATAATTGGGATCCTGTGATGGTGGGAATCAGAAGAATTTTTGCCTTTATATGCAGAAAACATAGAATTCAGAGGTAGGTTTAATTACAATATATATTTTAAAAGATAATTGTTAAATAATCTGGGTATCATATCATGCTAATTTTTAGAGATTTTGTGAGGAATAGTTGAAAGATTATGATTTAAATGTACTATGCCAGGTAAAATTAAATGTTTGTTCAGATCCTTTGGGTGATAAAATAGTTTTTTCTTCACAACTATTTTTTAAAGTGTTTTGAGTCACAGATAAAATCAGGGTTCTTACTGTTTTGCTATAACATTTAAATGTAGAAAACTTTTATTGAATAAAATTCTTCATAAAATATGATAACACTTCCTCAATGTTTTTCAAGAGGAAGAGCTTTTCACATTCCATTATAAAAAGAAGTTGGGACAAGTTACTGGGAAATTTTTCCCTGTCTTAGTTCTGACCACATAGCTTCAGACATTTGTGTAGATTATTTTTAAGGGTTCCCTTCAGCTCTAAAGCTCTTTTTAACCATGGGTTTGTTTTAAAGGGTTCCAGAAGACAGCGAACAGTGTGAGAGCCTTATTCCTATGCACGGTGTTTCTCAGGAGGATGGAGTGAGTTAGCGGTTGTCAGTAGTCCAGGTTTGTATGTCGGCTGGCATTAGTGTTGACTAAGGTTCTAATTTTTGTATTGCTTAAATGCAGATTTGAATTTCCATAATTAGTTGTTTGAGTTGTTTTGACTCCTAGAGGCTAACGGAGTCAAAGTGCTTGGTTTTGATTCCAGTTTCCCTATGTACTAGCCGTGTGACTTTATATAAGGTTCTTAACCTCTGCCTCAGTTTTCTTACTTGTGAAATGGGGTTACAATAGAACCTCCCTCATAAGGTTGTTAGAAGTAGTAAATACTTAATAAGCTTGAAGCATCTATAGTATTAGTTCTTGACCCAAACTAAGCGATCCCAAATTTTAACTATTACTTTTATTAATTTTACTAAATGATATACTCTAGAAACATTTTTTCCTTGAGTATAAAATTCAGGAAAAAAATATAATACTTTGGTGTATTTCAGTCTTTTTCTGTGCATGTGTGTGTTAAAACCATAATTGACACAATTTATATCTTGATTCTCTGACTATGCTTTTTCACTTAACAATGTTTCAAGAAATATTACCTTTTATATTTCTTACATGATTGAAAGTATATGATATTGTATGCTTCACTGAGTGAATGCTTGAAATATATTTGACATGTATCTTTAGCAGGTACAAAAGTGATATATTTATTTAGAATGAGAGATCACAGTAAATTAGTGAGATTCTGGAGATTCAGGCCCCTTTCTTCTGAGATAACTTTAGGCAATTTAGATGGAATTGTTTCCTGATTGCAACTGGGGTTCCCCTGCCCACCTACAACATTGAAGAACTCCTGTCAATGCCTTGAATCGCAGTGACCTTCAGTAAATTCTTTGTGGTAAATTCACATCTAAACTAAAGCTAATTGTCTTGGGTTTGTGTTTTGCTGTGATTGGTCCTTTTGTTATGATGGTTATACATTCCCACAGTTCAGAGTTCTACAAGATTTCTTATACAAGGCACGTCTTCCTGCTCTGAGCCATCTACCCTGCTTTCATTCTCTTCCCACTCTCAGGAATCTCTTTAAACTCTTCGTCAAGTCTTTTGGTATTTCTCTCCCTGCCCCTCTAAGTACCATGCTTATATTTCTATTTCTTGATTTCTCAGCTTCTCAGCATACTCAGTTGGTTTTCCCACATGGTAAATGAACATAGTTTATTTCAAGTGTCCCAATCCTTAGCTCCCACCCTATTTGCCTGTTTCCCAAAATTATATCATTCCTTATTCCTCCTCAGTCCAGTATAGTTAGTGCATAATTTTGGATAAATCTATAACCAGTGTTTGCATTGCTATGACTAAACACATGAGCCGTATAGGATTGTGCTTATTTCCCCAATCCAGAGACCCTAGGTTACCACCATTTTTAGGGAATAAACCTCAGATTTTCTCCTGGGATAGTGCAGAGGCACCATTTGTGAAAAATTAAGAGAGGCATCTGAGTGTCTAACTGCTTTTTCTATAAAATTTATAACACTCTGCTTATTGTCAGTTGAGTCTTCACTTTAGAGAGATATCTGGTCACATTTCTTCATTGCTAGCTAAGAGTTAGCTGCTATTTTCTTCTCTCTGTTCTCCTCTTTGTCCATGTGATTTATTTCTTTTTTAAAAATTCCTTTATTGAAACCCTGGCTGGTGTAGCTCAGTGGATTGAGCACGAGCCTGCAAACCAAAACATCATGGTTCAATTCCCAGTCAGGGCACATGCCTGGGTTGCAGGTCAGATCCCAGCAGGGTCCAGTTCCCAGTAGGGGATGCACCGGAAGCAACCATACATTGGTATTTCTCTCCTTCCCTTCCCTTCTAAAGATGAATAAATAAAATAAAAAAAAATGTAAAAACTATTAAAAAATTCCTTTATTGCCTTTTTACTGAGGTTTCAGGGACAGAGTGGAACTAAATATGTGTTTATTTGCCATCTTTAAATTAATAAATATACACATAGTTATTTTTTAAACTTTTTATTGTAATGTAAGCATTTTCCCTTCCTAGTATGTTGTGCATTGTTCCTATACTCACATTCATGGCCATCTCCCACACAGGGGAGGTTTTGATATTTTTGGACATGAGTACTGGTTAAAGGTGAGAGAGTCCAGACTAACAAAAGTGGACTACAAAAGAGTAAAGTAGGACAGGCCGGCAGGAGTCTCTGTCACGGGGGGTAGTGGTGAAATACACCATGATTAAACTGACTGCATGATCTTTAAGGAGTATTAGGTATAAGCCTTTGACATTGCTGTAGAACTCACTTTCATGGGTTCTCAGTACTTGCCTCAAGTGCAAATATCCAATTATATACAATTTATATAGACACATACTGTGTTTGACATATATTGCAATGTTAAGATAATTTTCATTTTTAAAATATATACTATGGAAAATTAAAGCTGTGACAGGTGTTATCTAACAAGGACTTTGTGTTTGCTTTATTTTCAGCTTGACAATGGAATATTGTATAGCGAAGAGACAATCTCTGGCAAGTTTTTGGAGAAAAATGTTTCAGTGCCTAGTCTGAAAAATAACAGTTTCAGTTCTTTGGAACTCTAAAATGTATTTTCCTCATATCAGTTTGCTTCATTTTCATAATGAAGTACTTTGCTATATAGCTGTGTGTATATCACTGTATAGGAAGTTTCCATCCATAGTCCATCTAAAGGACCAATCTGCCTTACACCTCTCAAGAAATTCAGCTAATGAAATAATTTGAGCTAATCAAGGGATAAAATTCTAATGTTTTGGAGACTGTCTTCACATATTATTTGTTAAATGCTGGACTATATTATGAAAATGTTTTCAAGAAATCATTTAGTATGTAGATCAGTATTTCTTATAGGTAAAATGCTAAATTAAGCTGCCTATAATGGGTACAGATTATATTTTTGAGTTCAGTAGAATATTGCAAATTAACACAAAAAAATCTTTAATTTATATAAAAGTATGTTCATGCAAATTTGGTTGGACTTCAGAAACAATATTTAAGAAAAGATGTGGTTCACTTACACTATATACTGTATTATCCTTTCATAGCATTAGGTGCCTTGTATTTTAAATCTGTGACAAACCATGACAAATTTTTAAAGGGGAAATATTGTAAAATGAAGAATCATGTATTTCTAAAGGCTGTGTTACTATAAATTTAATTGATAAAGCTCTGCTTAATTTAGAGTTTTAAAGAAATATTCTCTCTTCAATTAAGACATTTTCATAATGGAACGAATTAAATTGAAGTGGTAAAGAGTAATTATTAAAATAAAATGTTTATATATATTTGTGTATTATAGATCTTTTGGTTGGTTTCTGAGTTTTTTTATGTACAGATATGCCAGATTACTATAGAACTGGATGCCTCTCCTTTAAATAATTCTAGTTTAAAAAAATAGTTTTAATGGGTAAAATACCAAAGAAAGAGGACAAGAAGAATCTCTGCTTTAAAAATTACATTTTAATTTTTCCTCTGTGCAGTTTAAATTAAATATAAAACGCTCCTAATTTTAACTCTTAAACTTAGGTCATACATGTATATTCTTATTATGCAGCTGCTCCTAGATTCTGTTTGCTGTAGACATCCAGATGCATATACAAGGTCTGTCCAGGAGCTATCCAGCCATGTAATATGAAAAATAGAGACATCTATTGAAGATACAAGATACAAGAAACATTGTACATAGGACAATAACACTTTAGTCCCCTTCAAAGTAGATACCTTAGGACTTCACACAGTTCAAATTGCCATCAGCTGTCCTGTCATATGTTTCTGACTCTCACTGTTGGTCTGAAATCTCTTCCTTTCAAAGGTTGTTTTAGTTTTGGGAAAAGCCACAAATTATAGGGCACCAAATCTGGGATGTAGGGTGACTGACTCACCTGAATAATATGTTTGGCAAAAAAACTCTGCATGAGCCCTAACGCATATGTAGGTAAGCTGTCTATCACCAGTTGTCCATAGCTGTGACCTGAATCATCCAAATAGTTTCCATAGAGGGATGTTCAAGCTTAACACAAAATTTGATGCAGATTCATTGCTGTACTCACTCAGTCATTTTGAATGTGACAGCCATAGAGTACACATGCTCGTTCAGTGGTCTACCACCTCCACTGACTAGTACAGTGAAGCCATCATTGTTCATACATACACATTCCAGTCCACTCTCTTTGGCTGCCAGATTACACAGATGTCGCACAAACCATTCTCATTATATTAACAATGTCCAGGGTGTGGAGGAAAGGAAACCCCAGTACACTGTTGGTGGGAATGCAGACTGGTGCAGCCACTGTGGAAAACAGTATGGAATTTTCTCAGAAAACTAAAAATGCAACTGCCTTTTGACCCAGCCATTCCACTGCTAGGATTATACCCTAAGAACCATGAAACACCAATCCAAAAGAACCTATGCACCCCAATCAATGTTCATAGTCCAAATGGCCAAGTGCTGGAACCTAAGTGTCTATCAGTAAATGAATGGATAAAAAAACTATGGTACATTTATATGATGGAATATTATGCAGCAGAAAGGAGCTCCTACCTTTTGTGATAATGTGGATGGAACTGGAGAGCATTATGGTAAGTGAAATAAGTCAGGCGGTGAAAGACAAATACTATTTGATCTCACCTTTAACTGGAACCTAATCAACAAAACAAACAAGCAAGCAAAATACAATCAGAGATGTTGAAATTAAGAACAAAACTGACTAACCAGAGGGGAGGTGGGAGAGAATAATGTGGGGAAAAGGGGAAAGGGTTTTCCCTATAAAGTACACATGGACAAAACCAAAGAGGGGTAGTATTAAGGGTGGGAGGTGGGGATTGCAGGGGTCGGGGGAATAGTGGGGGGAAATGAAGACAACTGTACTTGAATGACAATAAAAAAAGAAAGAAAATAATGGCTGGACTTTTTCCTGACAGACCTCTCATGTCTAAGGATTGATCCAGGCTTTTGGTTAATTAGAGCCAATTTCTTTAAGAAAAAATATTAATTTCTCAAAAATTCAATTAAAACATTGTTTATCTATTATTAGCTTCAGTTTATCTTACTGACAATCTTTTTTTAACTTTTTTTATTGATTATGCCATTACATTTGCTCTATTCCCCCCCTCCATTCCCCTCCACCTTGCATACCCCTCCCCCACCATTTCCCCCTTTAGTTCATGAACACGTGTCTCAAATTCTTTAGATTCTATATTTCCCATGCTATTCTTACCCTCCCCCTATCTATTTTCTATCTACTGTCTATGCTACTTATTTTCTGTACCTTTTCCCCCCTTCCCCTCCTCCCACTCCCCTGTTGCTAACCCTCCATGAGATCTTCATTTCTATGGTTCTGCTCCTGATCTAGCTGTCCTCTTAGTTTGCTTTTGTTTTAGGTGTGGTTGTTAATAACTGTGAGTTTGCTGTCCTTTCACTGTTCATCTTTTTTATCTTCTTTTTCTTAGGTAAGTCCCTTTAACATTTCATATAATAAGGGCTTGGTGATGATGAACTCCTTGAATTTGGTCTTATCTGAGAAGCACTTTATCTGCCCTTCCATTCTAAATGAAAGCTTTGCTGGGTAGAGCAATCTTGGTTGTAGATCTTTGGTTTTCATGACTTGGAATACCTCTTTCCAGCCCCTTCTTGCCTGTAAGGTCTCTTTTGAGAAATCCACTGACAGGCTGATGGGAACTCCTTTGTAGGTGACTGTCTCCTTAGCTCTTGCTGCTTCTAGGATTCTCTCCTTCATTTTAATCTTGGCTAATGTAATGATGATGTGCCTTGGTGTGTCCCTTTTTGGGTCCAACTTTTTTGGGACTCTCTGAGCTTCCTGGATTTCTTGGAAGTCTATTTCCTTTGCCAGCTTGGGGAAATTCTCCTTTATTATTTGTGCAAATAAGTTTTCCACTGGTGGCTGTGCCTTTCCCCCTTCTGGTACCCCTATAATTCGGATGTTGGAACGTTTAAAGATGTCCTGGAGGTTCCTAAGCTTCTCTTCATTTTTCTGAATTCTTATTTCTTCATTCTTTTCTGTTTGATCATTTTTTTTCTTCCTTCTGGTCCACTCCCTTGGTTTGAGTCCCAATTTTCTTTCCATTACTATTGGTTTCCTGTGTATTTCCCTTCATTTCAATTAGTTTAGCTTCCATATGCTTCTCTAATTTGTGACTAAAATCAACCAGTTCTATAAGGATCCTGATAACCAGTGTTTTGAACTGTGCATCTGAAAGACTGGCTATTTCTTCATCGCTTAGATCTATCGGTTCTGGGGCTCTGAGTTGTCCTAGAGCCATTTTTGGTCTATTCGTGCTGTTAAGTAAGCAGAGCGAAGCCTTAGTTGTTTACCAGGACGGGGAGACCCAGGTCGCTGGTTTGTGACACTGTGTGTGGGGGCATGGTCAGAGAGGGAGCAATGGCGGTCCTCTCCGCTAGCCCAGCCCGCCTCAGTCACACCACACACCTCAGGCTTGTTTATCCGATCGGAATTGTGCGAGCCTGCTGCCTCAAGCAGGCTTCCCTTCTCACTGGTTTCTCCGCATGCAGGTGCGCAACCGACCGCAGACAGCCCGCCGCACCTCTTCCCTGTGCGCTACCGTAGCTGGCTCGCTCTCGATCAGCGCTTTCTACTGCTCGCGCTCAGCGCGCACCGCCCGGGAATTTTTTCTTGCTAACCTGTTCCGCTGCTGGCTTCGCTCCTCATACCGGTCCAGCTGAGTATCTAGTTGTCCTTTGGACTCCGTATTGTCGATTTTCCGTGTGGCTTGGTTGTGACTGCTGTTAAAAATAGTTGTTCTTAGATTTGGTTGTGCACAGAGGCAAGGTGGTTCCTCCACCTACGTCTCCATCTTGGCGGAAGTTACTGACAATCTTAAAAATGCTTTGGTGTTACTATGAGTCTAAAATGAAGTTTAGCCATCTTTCTGCTTGGCTTAAGAGCTTCTATAATATGTTAGCTTAAAAGATTGTTTATAATATACTTTAAAAACAGACTACTGTTCTCATTTGTTGCCACCAATAATTCTTGTTAAATCGAAAATAATATTGATTTTGTTGGCTTGACACAGCGTAAAGGCATGTAAAGAGTGTTGACATCTAAGGAATTTTCTCCTAAAAAAGAACTTAATGAAGTAACATTTCAGTTACTCAAAGACTAATTTTGGTTGAAGTTTATTATCTAGCTACCTGTACCTTCTGGTTTCACTATTAGTTCACCAAGACCATCAACCATTTACAAGGTAAAATAGTCAAAACAGTGCAAGTGACATTGAAATTTTAAATTATTTAAGTAGGAAAAGAAGTTGAACTTAGAATTTTTTGGTTGTTCATGTGTCCTGTGTTCACATGTCATCCAGATCATGTGTTGTCATTGGGGATTCTGGAAGTAGTAAGCCTCAGTTAACATGCTGGGGAGATCTTGAGGACTTCTAGACAGCCATTCAGCTGTTTTTTTAGTTGAAGATCAACCCCTGTAGAAGGAAGCGCCATTAGATTGGTTAACTGGAGTTCTGAATTACTGCTGCTTTGTGCACCCACCTATTTTTTCCTGTCAGGTTTTATTTATCTGAATGATTTTTGTATTTGGTAGCTGTCACCATAGAGTGAGCAACTGAGGACTTCTTTCTGCACCTTTGTAGTTAAGGGTTCATCTTCTCAAGAAATGAAGATGTGATAGATTACTTGCACTCTGTGATTACCCAGAAGTCTAGGCATCAGGTCCCTAGGGTCACAGCAACCACACTGCAGGCCTTTGGAAATGTTGGGGAGAGATTACATCTCTTAGAACAGTTGGCTCATGTTTATATTTTTCTGAATCTAAAGATATACATGGGGATTTCTAATACCTCATTATAGTCTTCTACTTTTCTTCCCATACATAATTTAAATCTCATTATTGTATAATGTTTCAAATTATGACCTTGATTGGAGGAAGTCTGCTGTTTTGTCAGAAAGACTTTCTGTTACATGAACATCAGAATCTGTAGTAAAACCAAACAAAGATGAGGCAGCCTTGAAGTTAGATGAATGCTCTTTGGAGCTTAGGTCATTAAGAGGTATGTAATGCACCTATATGTATTCCTCTAAATAAATTTTTATTTAAAAAAATGGAAATATTGACTATTGGCCTCAAATAATTCTAAATTAAACCGATTTCCTCCCAGCAACTGATGAATAAGGTTTATTGTTGCTGTAGATGTGAGCTCGCAGGTTAAATGTGGATATTCTCAAAGGTATGAAGCCTTGTTGCAGGAAGAATGTTCATGTTTCCTTTACACTCACAGTC